GGCTTCTGTATTTCTGCTTGCTCAGTTCAATTTGTTCAGACAGAAAAAGTTCGAGATGCTTCAAGAAGGGTCCTTCACATTTCATCTAATTCCTTTGTCATTCACCTACCAATTTTCGCTTAGTGAGAGTAATACCATATAAGGAGTTAGGAAGTTGGTGCATGATCTGTAGTATATAGCCAATCAGAAGGTGCATGATCAGCTCGTGGACAGAGCATGCAACCAATCAGATGCTGACACAGTAGATGCTTGTAACCAATTAGTTTGAACCTGCGATAAGTACTTTTCTTAAAAACTCTGGAGAACAATAGCTGGGTGCGGTGGCTCTTTGAGTGCTATCTTGGCATGTTGCCTCCCTGGCCAGAAAATAAAGGAAGTGCTTGCTGAGATCCATTATTCGGTCTCTCTAGTCTTCTCTGGGGTGCATGCAACTCTGCTACAAGACCACACTCGAATCAGGGTTTTGTCCCTGTGTCATGTACACTGGTCAGAGTGAGAGCAGAAGGAAACTGGTGTAATTGGCATGTGTAGATAAGCTTTATGTCTGAACACAAATACCTCATTTGCTATTGCACATCCTATGGGAGAGAGATCTCTGGTAATCTGCCCTGCTGTTGACATCTGCTCATTTCTTCATGGAACTACAAAAGACACTGAGCATGCACAAAAACCTCTATCATGTGGACTTTCTCTTCCTTACTAAAGCCCAGCCAACTTATATGTACCATATTTCCCATGACTATAATGCATTCAGAATGGTTCACAGAAAATAATACCACAGTGTCCCTCCCTCCCGCATACTAAAATATAATTTTGGCTGCTCAAAAATTAATACTTTGTTTAAAGCATATAAAATGTTTAAAGAATGAAGATCATATAATGCTCATTTTATAGCTACTTTAAAAATTGTAAAGAAAATTGAATAGAAAGCATGGGAATAGGTCAGTTAAGAATAGCCAGTAAAAATAACATAAATGTTATACTCAAGATATCTGTTCAGCAGCACATATTAAGACCTAAACCTAGCTGAGGTCACAGAGGGTAAAACAAAGCCTAATAAAAGTTAATTAGCATCAGCAGCCTACAATAAGTGAGAACAATTTTATCGGGTCCCAGTATATATATTAGGAAGTCAGTGTGGTGTAATGGTTTGAGTGTTAGATTAGGACACTGGAGACTGAGGTTCAAATCCTCGCTCAGCCATGGAAAACCCAGTGGGTAATCTTGGACAAGGCATACTCTCTTAACCTTAGAGCAGTGATCCCCAAACTTATTCAGGCTACTGCCCCCTTTCCTCTTAAATGACAACCCTAACACCCTCCAATGTCTATTTCTTGAGGTTATGCACACTGTTTGTGCTGCAGCCAAACAGCCAACAATGTCTATCTCAGCCATGCCCAGCTCACCTGTTAGGAAGGATCTAATTAGGGGGATTTATAATTAGCTCAAATATGCAAGAGTGGGGCCCTAACAACACCCTGCTAGACCGGAGTACCAATATGTATACCAGAGGACTCACAATGGATGACGCTGAGACAGGCTTCTTCAATTAAGGTCTAAATATGGCAAATATGGCATACACACACACTACACTCTTAAGAATAAAGGAATGAAAGCAAGAATAGCTTGAGATGGGCCAGACTAAGGGAGGTACTCACTTCCAAAGGTTTCTCCAGGATCCGCTGTGGATGTTGATGATGATGATGATGATGATGATGATGATGATGCACGGCCACTGAATTGGGGGAAGGGATGGCCAAGGGAGCTATGATCAGAGCACAGACTGACGTGGAGGCAAGCTGCACTCCAAAGATAGTATGTGGAGCCTAAAAATCTCAAGGTTTAAATAGGAAATTTCTGCCTTCTGGCTATTGACTAAATAGCTTGGCTGAAGCATGGACAAAGGTGTTGATTGTCTTAGCTTTGTTAAACTTAGATGTGAGACCAGTCTAAATAATGGATTTGGTTTCGATTAAATCAAGGAAGGAAGGCTGGAGAAAGAGGGGGCAATTAAATCTGATCACTACCCCACCAAGTGTGAGACTTTGGACAATGTGTCCCTTTTTGGGTATAATGGTTTTCCCCCTTTACCAAATCCCAAACCTGTCTGATAGCAAATTTTCCAGTTTATTGGGCAGGCCCTCTTGATGTCTGCCTGACTTGCCATCTAGAGGATTATGATTGACATCCCTCAGAGGTCAGTTCGGGGTCATAGAAGGAACTCCACATGTGTCCCAAAATTTTATTAATTTCATATCTGCTAACACACCACCAACTCCACTTCCATCTCAGTGTCTCATGTGAGAATACAGCAAAATCAGTAGTGGCAGTAGAGGCTTAGGCCTGTCCATTTTGCCTGCACCAGAGTTACAGCAAAAGGAAGGCCAGCTTGTGGGCTGCATTGTTGCTGCTTTCAGGCTGACTGAGCAGTGACTGAGCAGCCAGTCAAGTGGTGACTAAGGAGCTGGTTTAGCAATGTCCAAGAAGTTCTTGCCTGTCCTGACCTTTGGTTTAAGGCTGGTACTGGCCAGAGAACACTGCTAGATTGGCTGTCTAGTTGCTACTCCCTTTGCACTCAGTCATCCTGGATGGAGCAATTGACTAGCTGGCTGAGCATCAACCAAAATGCCTCTTGCCCATGCTGTCTTTGGAGCAAAGGCTAGCATGGGTGAGGGGCTTTCCAGTTTCTGCTTCACTAACTGCTCAGTTGCTGCTCCCAGGGTGAACAGGTGCAAAGGGAGAAGCTTCTTACCAGTGGCAAACATAGGCAAGCATGTTGAGATTTTGTCTCTTCCTAGAGCTGGATTCATTTCACTTGCTTTCCTCAACTGGTTTGGCCTTGGAGCCAAGTCTTCATTCATTTGTTCATTCATTCTTCAACTTGTATTCCACTTTTCTCTCAATATGGGACTCTAATGGCTTATAGTGTAATTTCAAACAAAATAGTTAAAACATGTTTGTTTGTTTGTTTTTAAGGACTAAACAAACCAATTTAAACATTATTGAAAATGTAAGGATGAAATCCCTGGGGGGAAGTGTCCAATGAAGTGGAAAGCAGCAGCCATGATGAGTCATGAGATTTGGCCACTGCTGAGTCATTCAGTCTCATGCTGAGTCACAGGAAATGACAACATGAGGATAGCCATTTGGTGCTGGAAAGCACACCAAGCTGCTGTGAAACTGCTGCAAAACTGCAGTGTCACTAAGGTGAGTGACAGGTGGCCAACAGGAAGAGGCAGGGCCAGAATGTCATATGGAGGTATGGCTATATAAAGCACAAGCCTCTGGACACATGTGTGGGTGTAGTAGTGGTGTATGGATTGCTGTGAGTCACATTGGAAGATTACTGTATATAGCCTTGTACATAGAGCAACAAAGATTAAAGCCTCCTTTGAGACATATCTGTCTGTGGAGTCTCTTTGCTCTGTCTGGAAGGGGAGAGGAGCTTCTCCAGTTGACAAACTGCCTGCTTCATCAGAGAAAGTCTGGATCCTGGTGTTGCATGTTTACATGGTCTTCACGTGCTGTGTAATCATGCTAACAGAAAATAGTTAAAAATACATCAAAAGTGTATTACATAAGAAACTGCACATCAATTGCAGATCCTTCTATATCAACCAATCAAAGGCTAAAGGTCTATTTGAATAAAAATATATTTTCTTGCTGGTGAAAAGTGAGCAGAGAGGGAGACAACTGCTCATGAAAGTTATGTTTAAAACCTGGGTCATGAGTCTATATTGACCAGAACACCACACACATTGAACATTTGGAAGGCAACAAGGCTGACAATAAGGATATGATGGGAAACACAAAGTTCACTGAACTTAGAACCACTGCAGTATTCTCTAGTATCTCTAAGACATTCTAGGTATGAGGGAGAATTCAACTTTAAAATATGGCCTACATTATCTGAGGCTCAGGCTGTTGCAATGCACCATACATGGTGCTGCCCATATAGTTTGACACTGGAATTGGCAGAAAGCACTGCCGCCCCATGAGTGTATTAATTTTATTGCCCTTTCAAGTTTGCTATGATTTTATTTGAGGTCCCTATGGATGAAGGGTGATAGATAGATTGAATAAATTCAACATGGTGTAATGGTTTGAACATTGGACTATGGGGGGATGCAGACAGTGCAAAGTGCCATCTTGGAGGCAGGGAAGGGGAGGGGCAGCCACATGGTGGTTGCCTCAACTTCTTCCTGATGACATCATCAGAGTGTGTGCCATTGCACATGGCAAGCGCCTTGATGACGTCCTCCCGGTGCAGCCTCTGCATGCGCTGTGCCAGAAGAGACGCACAAGAGCTGCATGAAGGCTCTTCCAGTGCCCTTTTGGCTGGCTCTGGAAGGAGCGGCATTTTTGGCACTCCTTCCAGGGTTGCCCAAAGGGTTGATTGGGGCTGAGGTGTAGAGCAGCTTTGGCCCCAATCTTCCACTTCTCAGGGTGGCCCACGGCTGCCTGTCTGCAAAGCCCCAAAGACTCTGGAGGACAGGCTTCAAATCCCAGCTCAGCCATGTAAACCTTGCCAAGGGAGACCTTTTAGCATCATGAGAAGGCAATGGCAAACTCCCTGTGAAGAAAATCACCAAGAAAACCTTATGATGGATTGACCCTAAAGTTGCCATATGTCAGAAATGATTTGAAGGCACACAACAATAACAACAATTTATGATATTACAGTTAGCTCTGAATACACAGGTCCTTATAGTATCCACAAACCTTTTATCAACTGATCAACCATCTATGACTTTAAGATACTGGAAGGGCGGTATAAATTCCAGAAAGCAAACCTTGATTTTGTCATTTTATACACCATTTTACTATGCCATTGAGTACCACAGATATGAATGTTCCCAGGTGTTCTGGAACCAAACTCCAGTGAATACCAAGGGCCCACTATACTATAAGTAGATGTGTATTTTACAAAATGAGTATCTTCTAATAACAGCTATTTTGGTTACTGTTTCAAGGTGCTGGTTTCAGTTCAAAGTGCTGGCCAAACTAACTGGGCCCAGGTTATCTCAAGGAAAGTTTGGCCTCATTTGAAGATCTCATTCATAGTCTGAGATCACCTAAACCAGACCAGGGTAAAATCCCATAATAGAAGCTAGGCCACCTTCAACAGATAGCAAGTCTTCTTGATTGCCACCAAAAGTTGTACAGACTTTGCCTTTTGGCTCTTTCCCTGCTCATGTTCCATAGTCAGTTTTTAGTTGTTAGTTTCTGTTCAGTTGCTGCTGTTGGGATGTGTGTGCATTTGCTGGTGGTGGTTGTATTCTTTTTACATTGTATTTATACCTTCCTGATTTGGATTATTTAAATTATTTCAGTTTGTTTTATGTCTTCATTTTTTCCCCCCAAAAAAATATAAACAAATTTAGTTAAATTCAAAAGCAGGGAATTTTTATTTGGAAGGGAATTTAGCAGTCTTAACTTTAGAGTTCAGGATTATTTTCATAATAAGGACTTTTCTTCTGAGGTTAGTGTCAAAATAATGATTGAAAGGTGACACAAGCCTTCATCTATTGAGAAAGTGAGTTCATTTTGTGTCTCAAGGATGCCAAACAGCAAGCAAACAGGTCTGTATCAGCCAGACTCTGTGTCAAAGGGATTTAGCCAGAGTAGGAATCAAATAAATGTTATGCATTTCCTGGAATGCTTTACTCTTCTGGACAAAGCTTCTTTACCCTGCATGACATCCAGCCTTTCTGCTATTACCTTCACTCTTTCCATTTCCCTTGAACTCATTAATAGCACAGTTTCTCATTCAAAGCCAATTATAATTTATCTGACATTGACATAAGAATGTGTTCTATGTGTCCAGATATCCTGCAATACCAGCAATTTTTACAAAAAAGAACATGATGGACATGCAATATGCTGTGATTATTCAGGATGTAAATATTTACTTGTCTTGTTCTTGTTTGTGAGAACAAGAAAACATTTTTAAAGGAATGTAAAGACCCAACTATTTCAGCCTTGCATGCAAAGATGAATAATTAGTTTTCTCTTCATTGTAGCATACAATGAATATTTCTCTATGGTATTCTCCCTGTATTTGGCAATCCTGAAGTGTCACACAGGATTTATTCTAGTATTGAACTTGCAACCTTGTGGTCTATGAGTGAGTGGCTGCAGTACAGGCATTTAACCATTGCATCACCGGGGCCTTTGTCTATAGGAAACAGTTTTTCAGTGCA